CCAACCCCCCGCCAATGCTACTACTCTGCTGTGGTTTTCTGGGTCCTCTTCTGGGGGGCCCAGGACCATGGCAAATGACTTCCCGGTGGAGAGCGAGGAACAGAATGGAAAACGTCCATTCTCCGGTCTGCTCTGTGTTAACAATGAGACAAGAAAGCTGTGCCTTCCCATTTCAGCTGTCACTGGCGTTCCAGCACAATGCTGTGCTAGAACTCCTGAATTTGAGGCGACAGGTTCAATAAAGAGACCCTGTCTCCTCCTAATTCTATCACACAGGGGCTTGTTAGCTCCTGTGTGATAGCAATAGAGTTAAGTGGAAAAAAAAGTAATAATATAAATAAAAATTGCTAAAAAGTTAAAAAAAAATAGGAAATAAAAAAATAAGATAAAAATTAAAAAGTAAATTAAAAAGTGATAAAAAGAAAACAATAATAGAATTATATTTTTATAGAAAATAGAAAAGTAAAAGATAAGAAATTCAGATTTAAGAAAGAAAAATAATAAATAACAATAATTAAAAAATTATTTTACCGTTGGTCACCACAACTTGGAAAATGTTACCAAGGGGCCCCGGCTCATAGCACATTGTAGGTGGCAGGTTCTCTTTGCTACCTTTGGACTTCAGTGAAGTTGATTAGGTGCAGATCATGCTTGATCAGCTTCATCCCTAGCCACAGCGGGGAATGACCGCTCTGGCAGTGACTAAACCATGATCACTTCCGGGTTTGGTGCATGGAGGGGAGATCAGCAAGTGGATGTTCGCTAGTCTACCTCTCCTCTAGCAGCCCACGGGAGTCGGGAGGAAGAGAGGGCAGCACATGTGACAGCCCATGGAAGTGATCAGGTCAGAATGCCTTCCAGTGTAAAGCTGACAACTGGCTTTACATATGTAAGCAGACTCCCAGGTGCTATAAATAGTCTGCTTATATGGCCCCATTGCTACAGCATGCTACATGTTAAAGGTAAAAGGTAGGGAAAGGGTAAATATACTCACTGCACTGACAATGCCTGCAGAGTCAGGAGGCTGCACAGATCATCAGAGCAGTGAGCATGTTTTGCACATTGTTTCTGTCTACCAAAGGCATTCATCAGCACCAGTTTATGGAATTATTATTTACAGCACTTTTGAGGCTAATGTATCTACTTACAACTCCGCAATCCCAGTCTTATTGGAATTGACAGCACTAGTAATATACTTGGTGCTCATTTCATCTGCTAGTGAGAGCAAGCACCATCTGATTTGTCGTTTACATTTTTAAAGCTGAACTCCAGCTTTAACTAGTTGACATCCGCGGTGTTAAACCCCCTTCCCATCCAGGCCATTTTTCAGTATTCAGCGCTGCGGTACTTTAACTGACATTTATTCAGAGACGGCAATCTGGAGACGGCAACCCGCAGATGCAGCAGTGCCGTCCGTCCGTTTTTTTACTACGGGCGGACGGCAAGAGGTTAAAATGTGTATATATACTTACAATGGTCCAGCTCGGCATGAAGCAAATATATATAAATGATCCCTGGCAGGTCCACGGCGATTGTACAGTAGTAGTTACTACAATGTATTAGTACGTCTTCCGGGTATAGGAACAGCCTCTATGCTGAGCGACTTTCCCTGAGCTTTAAAAACAAAGCGGGTGGCTCCCTAAGCACAATCGCCATTCAGAGGCCAATTAATTAGTATTAATTAATTTTCTCAATTAATACTAGGTATGCTCTGACTGGAAGAGGATCAGTGACATTACGACATGATAGTTAAAATAGAGAATTGAGTCACATGATATGTCATGTGACACAATCTGTGACTTTTTCATGACAATCCAGCTGAAAGTGATATGAAAGTCAAAAGGGTTTTAAGTAGGGATGCACAGATACCATTTTTTCCAGACCGAGTACGAGTATTGATACTTTGCCACACGTACTTGCCAATACCAATTACCGATACTTTTTTTTTTTATATCATGTTACATTTTTCTAAAACAAGATAGATTAATGATTTTAGGACAGAGTTGGAGCGCCAGGGCCCAGTCGCACCTGCAACCACTGTGACCCTGGTAGTTCTGCCACTAACTCCAAGCTGTAAAGGGACTACAAATTCCAGCAATACATTATACAGCAATGCAAAATACCATCAGCTATAGAGGACTACAAATCCAAAGAATGGATGGGGAGGTATGGATAAGGTGTAAGATGTGAATTTGGTCAAAAGCCTATAATTCAGTTTTATTACAGTGAGTTTTGCATATCTTTTGCCATTCAAACTATCAGTTTTTACTTGGAATTATTTATTTGAAGATTGATAGTGACCATTATGAAAGATTACTATTTGTATTAGCCTCTCACTATAGGCTTACTTCACAAAACCGCTGTTTATTTGTGTCCCTGTTATTTCTTTGATACCGCACCTTATCTAGCTCTGTATATCTCTTAAATCTTAATTCACAAAGGTTCATGATGCACTTTATTTAGCCTGCTCTGTAAGTAGTGGTGGTTTACTAGTACTAGTGATATCATAATGCTGTTGATGTAACTGTCTATAAAGGAAACCAGGAGAAAAGCTATTTGAAATGTCAAAATAAAACTTAGTGAAACAAAATGATTAGCAGAAATAATCAAGATCAAATAAGTAGTGGTAATAAAATACCTGTTCCATCTTCGGCTTGTGTCAGATAGCATGTAATCTAACAGTGGTTACTCTTCCAACTACCTGATCTTATGGTCTAGTGCATGTACATTGTACTGTTCTGTTTTGAATGAACCTGCTGTTGTAAGAATGGGGTGATATCAAATGTTCCTAAGGCTATTTTCTCTTGTGGTTGAATGTTCTTCAAATATTATTAGTAGTGAAGTTGGAAAACCCTACATTATGGCCACTAGATGGAGCCGAATAATGCTACTATGGGGATCCCCATACCGTAGTAGCAATGGTTACGTTTATCTGCTAATTCTCTCGTTCTCTAGAATTATTACATAGTAGAATGTATTATTTCCTATGATCCTCAGCTCCATCTAGTGGCCATAATGTGATATATCCCCAATTCACTACTGCCCATATCTTTTGAAGCACATGTCACCAGAAGAGAAAATAGTCTTAATAACAAAAACACATTTTTAGCAGAGTGAGGAAGGGTTGGATCTTTTCACAATGTGTTATTACTGTCTGTGCCTTCTTCCCGGTGACAACTACACCCCCATTTAAGAGTCTGAGAGAAAGTGAAGAAAAATCCCCTCACTGTGGTCAAAGGCAGAAAGTAAAACTTGACAAAAATGTTAGCTTTACCCCACCCTATCCAAAATGATAACAAATTGAATTTTTACATATGCTATGGCTGAGAGTGACTGACCAGCCAATCTGAAACCTCATATTGCACGCTAGCAGAAAGTCAGTGACTCACTAGACTGGCTGATCTCCTAAAAAGTTCCCTTAAAGTATTTCCACTTTTACAGCCAAAATTCAATTTCTTTGGAGCAGCATTATACACAGGACTGCAAGCTATTCTGAACAATTTCAGTAGGGACAGAGTCAGTTTACCCCCATTAACATACAACGCGGAAACAAAGCTTTAAGATCTAAGATCTTTAACTCTTTGTTGGGGCAGACAGAGTTAGAACCTTGTTTACAACTAAGTCTATGGATCTTTGGTGGGTATGTTCAAATTGTGCTTTAAAAATGTGAGAGGGGCTTACACAATAGACCTGAGTCTACAGAATGGTGGATAGGAGGGATCCAGGTGCACTATGTGTACACCATTCCAGTGAGTGTCGGTGCCAATTAAATGGCAGATAGGTGAGAGCATCTCTGGAAAGGTGTGTGTGCTCCTGGCTAACAAAAATTTGCCATTCCAGTAGCAATGACAGTGCACCTGGATGCCACCTACAGGCACTGTCACAGTGTGTGTGCACCTGGATCTCATCTATCTGCCATTCCAGTGACAATGCTTTATAGGTGGCAGCCAGGTGCACTGTCATTGTCTCTCGAAAGGTCTATGCACCTGGCTGCCACCTACAAGCACTGCCAGTGCCATTGAATTGGTGTGTGCACCTGGCTGCATGTTGAGCGGTGCCCAGTGCTTCTCTTTCCACCCACTGCCATAGACGTCAAAGCACAGCATGTGTAACTTACACATACTGTGCTTTGCTTTTGTTTACATTTCCAGAATGAATGACATTCTGGAGATGTAAGCATTCTGGTAATGACCCAGGAGCCAGCTCAAACATTCTGGCAAGCTCCTACCTATGCTAATTAGTCATCACAGCGATCACAAGGTACAGAGCTGCTCACATTGGCTCTGTACATTACTGTGCACGGACAGCTTGGTATACAGAGATTAGTGGACTATTTCTGGAGTGATGTTTTAAAACATCACTCCACAAAGACATCTCAAAAAAACTACCGCATTTTTTTTTTTGACAATGTGACAATAGGGAGGTAGTTAAAATTACTCTCCAGGCAAAACTTTTTTTTTATTGTATAGCATTGGGGATGGGGTTAGAACCTCTGTCAAGTTTTTATTGTTGTCCTTGTTGAAGAGATTCACGCTTCTATTTGTACTAGTAACCTTTGACCCCGACCAGGGAAGAGAGATCCCTTTTGTGAGATTTCCTCTTAACTTCCTACTGCTTCTCTGGTAAAGGAAGTGAATGAACATTTTCCCTGTAGCATACAGAACAACAGAAAACTAAGCCAGCAGGGGTTTTATCCCTTTCCTAATAAACTTTAAAAACAAATGGCCAGACATAAACTTGAAATTGTATAGTTGGTTCCATCGCTGAGTAAATTACCATGTAACATTACGTTTAGATGCATTTACTAATATTGATCACTCGGTGCGCATAAAAACATACAAATCAATGTTCCTGGTCATTCCGTGCACACTCTAGTCAGCAAATCGCTAACATTGTCGCAGCAGTTCTTCGGCTCGATTCTACAAGGTTATATAACATCCATCGCTGACCTACAGAAATCACATGCTCTCCAGCAGGTATGTCAACAAACAAAATGGCTACCGAAGGTAGGCGGGTCCACGATACGTCGCGCTAAGGGGGCGGCTTCTACGCCGGTCTCCCTGGTGATGACGTCGCCCAACCGACGCCGAATCACGTGACACAGAGTGAGTGTGCGAGAGTGTTGCCTACGCGCGGCAAAGGCGAGAGAAGATGGCGGACGGGAAGGGAGAGTCCCGAGCGGGGCTGGCCAACGGGGGCATGCTGTCTCCGGCTCCGTCGGCCCCACAGGCCTGCCGCCTATGGGATACTCTCCGAACGCTGGAGGACGGGCTGAGGGCGGACGAGGTGTCCGTGTTTACCTCCTCCGCTTACTGCAGACGTTTCTGTGAGGTGAGAGGGAAATGCCGGAGGAGGGGGAGGGCACCCCTGGCTGTGGTGGCTGGAGGTGCAGCTCCGGGGGGGGTTCTACGGTGGTACATTGTTATTGTTGCCAGGCTGTGGCGTTTTATTTTGGTGCCTGACAGTGAGTGATGGGGGCGGGATAGGTGGGAGGTTCGGTGGCCGCCCAGTCCTTCAATTCATTCACACCCGAGCCGCTAATCTTGTTCACGGGAAGCGGATGGCTGCTCCGGTATGAAGGGGGTGTGTTCAGCGGAATGGCGGAGAGCTGCTCCCACAGTGCACAGCGCACAGGCAATGGACGATCTGCAGTAAACAAGGAAATGGGGCTACGCTGCTTATCTCTCTCTCTCTCTCTGTGTGTACTGAGCATATAGCCCCGATCTAGCCCAGCGGGGTGCCCTAGTCACTCAGTGACGGCTGTCAGCACTGAATGCAGGCTGCACTGCTGAGATGTAATGCTCCTATGCAGGCCTGGATGAGGTCTGGCCTCAGCTCCAGCCAGTATTGCAGCTTTGTATTCATTCATGTATTCTTTAGGCCTCCTGCATTTGACACGATAAAAAATGGTCTGGCAAGTATAGATAAACCTTTTACTTCCCAGATTTATCTTTCCTGCGTTTACATGTACTTGCGGTTTAAAACTGGGCTGAATGGTGTAGGGATGCAAGTATTTCTTGTTTGTGTATACACAGCTAGACTGAGGGCAAAGGTTGCTGAACATCTAGGTGTGCATTTAGCCAAGGCAAAATACATGCTACGGTACCAGAGGCAATAAAGTCAAAAGGTTCTTCATCTATTTCAAATGCCGGTGAAATCACTTACAATGGATGCTGCTTCTTGATGTGTAAAAGTTTCATTTTCCTGCAGAATCAGCTGGTCGTGACTTCCTCTTTTACAGTGACTCCTTTCTCAGAGTGCTATGTAGACACCTGCGTGCTACTAAGCAGTGCAGTCCAAGAATATCACCAGCACTCCAATGTAAACATGAAAAAGGATAGATTTATTGACACTTATTTGTCATAAATGCAAGCGCTTTCGGGGCCTCACAGGGTCCCCTTCATCAAGCTCAGAACTGTCACCACCAGAACTGAGCTTGGTCGGAAGTCACGACCAGAACTGAGCTTGATGAAGGGGACCCTGTGAAGCCCCGAAAGCGCTTGCATTTATGACAAATGTGTCAATAAATCTATCCCTTTTTCATGTTTACGTTGGAGTGCTAGTGACGTTCTTGGACTTCATGTTTTTACACGGTGCTATCCGTGGTCATTTCTATCCTGTAAGGAGTGCAGCAAGATACATTGATACACTACTAAGCAGTGTGTCTCCACAAACACACATATTAGAAGTCACCAGCACTCGATGATATGTGCAAGAAGTAAAGCACTTTTTATTCAATCGTCACATGCATCAAACAGCCAACGTTTCGGGGCCACGCAGGGTCCCTTCTTCACACATACACACATACACAACAAATCAAGCTACTTCCTTCCTCCCTGGCCCACTCTCCTCACTCCTCCCTTCTCCAAGCTAGTAGATGAACACTTGCTGTGGTCTGCACTGCCCCATGTGATCTTGTACTGGACAGGAAGTTCAGGCAAGCTGAGAGACTAGGAAGCAGCTGTTCAGAAACATAACTATGTATTTGGGTAAAAATGTAAAGAAATACCTTGCTGGGCAATGTCGATTTTTATTTGATCTGGATTAATTATAAAAAAGATTGAGAGTTTAATACTACACTAGGGGCCCATCCTCACCAGCGAGCCGCACTAAGGGCCCATTCACACCACATCCAGATCATGACCAGATTGTTTCCAGACCCAAAATGCATACTAATGTATCCCCATGCTATTTCTGGCCTCTGTTCACACCAGCGCAGTCCGTTCCAGACCAGAAAAATACTGCATGTCTCATTTTGTCTGGTCTGGAATGCACTGGAACTGCGGGGCAGGTTCACCCCATTTTCCCGACCAGATCTGGTCCGGAAAATGGTTTGAACCTGCCCTAAAGGCACGACTGCTGATGTGCGTTGATAGGCACAAGTGATCTGTCGATCCTTTTGAATCGCACTGTTTACTTTGTTAGAACTTTATTGAGATGTCACCAGTATACCAGTTGTATCACATCACGCTGCGCGCACAAACGGTACAGCTTACTGTGAACTGTGCCAATTTAAAAACAAGACCGGTTGCCTTGTCTATGTGTTGTGGTTGCACTGGGAAATGCGACCAGCCAGTGTTAATGAGCTCCAAGGATTGTATTTACACATTTGCAGTCCAATTTCAGGAAACCCCACTGCATTAAAAAGTGTCTGGTTTGTATGTGTTGCAGTGCACTCCAGCCCATTAAAATTGAATGGTACTTCTTAACACGAAGAGCCTCATTGAAGTGTAATGTGATAATGCAGTGCATAGTGTGAATGTGGCCTTATTGTAAAAGAGAAAGAGCTGTTATCTGCCTGGCTCAGCTGTCTAAATCTCAGGAATATTGGCACAGAAGTATAATTCTTTTTGCAATTAAATTCATTCTTTTATATGGGTTACTACAATCTCAATACAAATGAGTAAACTATACATGGGATTGTAGTCCATCACTGGAGCGAGCTTGGAGTGGTGACTGCTTTATAACCCACACAAGGACCATGGGGAACAAAAGTAGCCAGAAGGAAGGACAGTGTCGGCACAAATTCAGAGATGATTTGAGGATCTGCAGTTGAGTGATACACAAATAAGATACATTTGTGGTAATAGTTAAGGTACTTGAATGCATTGTAGGATTTAACTCCTGAGTTTAGTGTCACTTTAACTTGCAGCATGCAGGTCTGGTGTGAAAAGTCAATTGCAGAACCATCACCTTTTAACTGTATTGCCTAGGATAAAGGGGAAGTGTCTCAATCAGATTAGCTGCACAAGCTTTGATGTCCCCAGCATCTTCCTTACTGGGTTTGTGCTAGGGGAAGCTGGTTCGTGTTTCCTCTATTCTGAAGCTTCTTCCTCTGAGCCAATTGCCCATTTGCTCTACCCACCCTCTGTTCTTCAAACTAAACAGGTATACACAGCTTAAATATTTTATATAAATTATAATATTAAATATTCACTTATGTTATACTTTCAAGTGGAGAGTAATCGGTTTATAGGTCCGTCCAGCCAGTTTGGTTCTCGCATCTCTGCTTGCACTGTATGGCCATGAAGGTCTTGTATATTGGTTCACCTTTGCAGTTTACTGGGTTACCTGCTTGTTCATTGGACAGAGGTGAGTGGAGAACTGACACCGGATGCTGCAAAATGAATCCATGAAATATTTGTGTTACGCAGGTGGCAGAGATGTGGGAATCACAAAAGAGATTGAGCAGCATTATAAACATGTTGGCTCACATCTCTTATATGTATTCCATCTGTGCATTTTGCCAATTCATCACACAGAGCTGAAATACAAATAAGAGAGTGGATATGTATAAACTTACTGTAAGTAACACTTCTAGCTCTCCCCTTTCCTCCTCTGTGACAACCGTAAAAGCAGAAGCAGCAGACAGTTGAACTCCTCTCTCTGTGAATTTGCTTTCTCCTAATATCAGCATGCTTCTTGCACTGCAGCCTAACTGGCTGTTTGTGCTGCTTGTTCTGCTTTTTGTATACACAGACTGCAAGAAGCTGATACCAAGTCAAACTGAAGTACAATGGTACGTCGGTTCACGAACGCTTCTGTTCGCGAACAATTCGGTTCGCGAACAGAAAGTTCAGCAAAATTTTGCTTCCGTTCGCGAACACCGCATCGGGTGACGAACACAACTGCAGCCATCTTCCCTGCTCGGACACATGGTCGTGGCTTCCTCTAGTCGAGATTGCGGTCTTACAGTTTGATTCGGTTCGCGACCAATTCAGTTCACGACCCACAATATTTAAAATGTATTTGCATTGTTTAAGTTTTTTAGTATTGCATTACAAAAAATGCAAAATTGAAAGAAAAAAAACCCCATCATTTTGTTTTGCCAACAACTTTGTCATGCTTGGTACTAGAGCTGCAGCTAACGATTATTTTCAAAATCGATTAGTTAGCCGATTATTAAGTTCGATTAATCGGTTAATCGGATACCAAAATTTTAGTATCATTTTTTAAACAGGACGAATTCTAGATTTACAGAATAAAATGATATTTAACTGCATAACGTTGCGATAATATAAACATTGTTCTGGTCCATAGGAGGTGTACAGGTATGAGAGCTGAACTGGTTAAATAAAATTAATTTGATCTAATAATGAAAACGAGCTCCGTTAGCTTTGTCTATTATACCCGTCTGAAGTTCAGCTTTATTTTTTTTTCCTTTTTAAGTTAGGTTGCAGGCTGGCTTCTAAAAGCAGAAAGGGCCTAACCTGGGAAAGAGTTTTTTTTTTTGTACACATACTTTCTAGCTTGTTGCAGGTCAAACATTTGTTAACATGTACAATTCTGGTTGTGGAAGCTCAGCATTACATGCGTGCGTTCGGTCTGAATCTAAATGCATTCTGCCTAGGGACACCCACTCTCCAGACTTGCATCCACTCATCAAGTCATTTTAATATTTGCAAAACTCCCCCCAACAGCCAGCCCAGTGCTTACATCAGGGCTGAGGGCTCTTGAGGGGAGTACTGAGGCAGTGTGCTGTGATTTTTCCCGGAAACTATGTACTATACCCTGCTGGTCCCTCCCTCTAGCCATGATGTGCCTACATTGCAAAGAAAAGCACAGAGACCCAGTGATTATGTCACTAGGTCTAAAGAGAGATGTAATAAAGACAGGTTTATTTAAAAAAAAAAAAAAATCATTTTCATTTTGATGAGGGGGTAAAGGAGGAACCAGGAAAGGTAAAATACAAGCAGATTAAACTTCAGCTTTAATATTTTCATTGGCCTAGACCTTGTAATTATGAATGTTACTCAAGATATCGTATGTTATGAACAATTTTTTTAGTTATAAAAATTACTTTTCATTTAGGATTTCTTGTGGCTGCAAAG